AACAATTAATTAATTAAATTAACACCTAATTAACTTATTTTGACACCTAAATAACATAATTAGCACTAAATTAACATAATTAACACCTAATTAAATTATTTTTCAACTAAATAAATTACCTTAACACCTAATATAATTATTTAACAACTAATAAATTAACCCTAAAAAGAAAATAAATTAAACTAACTAACAATTAGCAAAAAAAAAAAAATTTAAACAACAATATATATAATTTTTTTTTTAAAAAAAAAAAAAAACCAAGAACTCACCTTAGGTGAGTTGAGTAGCTTGCAAATGGAGGAGGAGTGAAGGGAGGAGGCTGCTACCAACGTTAGTGGACCCATGAAGAAGAGGAGGGAAGGAAGGAGGAGGAGGAGAAGGAAAGGAGAGAAAGAAGAAGAAAATGAAGGAGGAAAAAGGAAGGGATGGTGGGGAAGAAGAAGAAAAGAAGAGAGAGCGGGAGTTTGGAGGAGCTCACGAGCATCTATGGAGGATTTTTGGAGGTGGTGGCGTTGGTGAAGAAGAAGAAGAGAGGAGAGAAGAAAAAATAGGAAAAAAGTGGTAGAATCTAGGTTAGAGATTTTGTGTTTAGCAATAGTTTGCGTTCCGTCACGAAATGCAAAATCCTTTTTCTTAAATTTTTTTTTCGATTTTTCATCCAAATAAAACTTTTAACGACGATTTGAGAAGACCGTTGCTAAAATTCTTTAAAAATGGGTGGAATCTACGATGTTTTGAGTAGACCATCGCTAAAATCCTCCCAAAACGGATGGAATTTGAGGGAATTTAGCGATGGTCTATTTAAACGAGTCATTAAATTCGCTCAAAAATGGTTTTTTAGCGACAATCTTCCTAGATCGTTGCTGATTCCCCTAAAAAAGGGTGGAATTTGCGACGGTTTAAGTAGACCGTCACTAAATTCTCCCAAAAATGAGTGGAATCTATGACGGTTTAAGCGGACCAAAGATGAATTCCCTCAAAAATAAGTTTTTAACGACGAGTTAGAAACCGTCACTAACAACCCCAAATTTTGAGGGAATTTAGCGACAATTTGCTTAAATAGTTGCTAAATTCCCCTAAAGATGATTTTTTATCAATGGTTTCACAAAAAGCGTCTCTAAAAGCCCCTAACTTGGGTTGAATTTGCAAGTTTTTTTTTTTTTTGAATTTGTGACTTATTGAAAACCATCACTAAAAACCGACACTTGTAATGAAATTAGCTACGGTGTATTCGGATCGTTGCTAATTCTCGATTTTTAGCAATTGTTTTTTAAACTGTCACTAATAAATGGTCGATATTCCTTTGTTTTCTTATAATGAATCAAAATAAGCCCTAACCACAAACAATTTTGCACAACTTACCTGACTCTATAAACAAAGTACGAAACCCTTTTCTCAAGAGAAAATTTCTCTCGATGGAAAACACAATAATCCTAATAATCCAACCAGAAACCAGCCTCCCACAAACCTAAACCAAAATCACGACTTCCTATTTTCACGTTAAGTCTTCACAATTTCTTATCTCTCAAATATGTAAAATCACTACAATTTTTTTTATAAAAAAAATAGTTATTTTGAGTTGATATTTTAAAGCTCGATAATATATATATATATATCATGAAATATATAATTACATGGTATCATACTCGAAAAACACAGACCTCTCTTTTAGTGTAACTTGTGATAAATACCCTCTGTCTCTACAAAAGTTTTTTTTTTTTTTTAATTATTATTGTTTGGGTGCACCGCCAACTGGTTATATTTACAGGGATGGTAAGAAGAAATATTTTACATACCAGAGGAACTATAAATAGAGATACGATCTCTCTAGTTTAGAAGAATTATTTGAAACATTAAATGATTAGAACAACAGAAATTGTGCTTAAGAAAAAAGCATATACGTCGAGTTCTAAATAAACTTGATATCTAAAAGAAAAAAAAAAAAGGTAATAAAACATGGTAAGATTGTATTACTGACTTGTAGAATTCCTTCAACTTTGACGGGTTAGGGTTTTCTGGAATGCAGTATATGTACATATATGGTAAATATATGAACATGAGAGAACAAATTTCAAGTTAGCTCCTCTCTTGCAACCTATAAGAAATCCAGTAGGAAAGGTTCGTCTGAAACACAGAAATGGTAAACAATGATGCAGCCTTAAGCTGTCTATGTTATCCTCTCTATTATAACCTTTAGCCGATGCACTTATGTGTTCATAATATAACTCCAACAGGTAGAAATAGTGATTAGCTAGCACTCCATGGAATGCGAGGTCGGTTACAAAATGGATGTTGATATAGCCAAGGGTACACGTGTACCTCCAGGTCCCATTCACAACATGAGAGCATGACCTAGAGGAACAGCCAACAAATTCGTCAATGATGAACGCCTCTTTGGTACCTCTCTACCATTCGAGCCAGAACTAAAGAATTCGACCTATCCATACCTGGCTAGCATAGAAATAAATGGTATTCATTAAATGCAAGCACGCTCTCACGGTTACCTTTTTTTCAAAAGCCAATAGTTATAATATTCTCATCATGTCTGTCCAATGATAATTCATCAACATTAAAACAATTAATTATCAAGATTCTATCCTCCTTTCATATTACAACATATCTCTCACGGTTACTTTTTTCTCAAAAGACAACAGTTATAATCTCATCATGTCTGTCCACTGATGATTCATCAAACATAAAAAATGCTTATCAATAGAAGAAACGATTCTATATATCCTCCTTTCATACAACATGACAAGATATATTTCTATATAAACAAATATGAGAGAAGCGCAACATCACCTTCTCAAGTTTTACGACTTGATCACCAGATAAAGATCACATATATATTGGTTAAAAATTATTATACATTTCAGGACTGGTCAAAACGAAACTTGAAACCAAGACCTAACGCTCTACTAGTCTTTTTGAACCAACCCACCTTCCTAGTTTAACAGCTGTAGTGAAGAAGCATGCGACTTGCCAATGGTAAACAGCCTCGTTTTCAACGCCCAAGACCAAAAGACCAACCTTAACATGTAATTCTCGTTTGCCCCATGTAAATCACAAGACATCCTTTTCCTCTTCATATATATATATATATATATATATATATATATTGCATGTTCACTACCCAGTAGTCCCACCTGAAGATAATGTCTTCTTCTTCTCGTGAAATTGTCCTTACTAGCTCTCCTGATGGCCCCATTACTGCTTATGACATCTTCTCAGGCACCACCCTAGCTCGCTTCTCTGGCAGCCGGTCACCACGCCATGGCCTTGTCCTTGCAGGGAAGGCTTATATTGCTGCCTCTCATATCTCCTCAGCTACTGCTTCAGGCTCAATTCACCTGTACAATTGGTGGTCCTCAACAGCTTTTCACCATCTGCCTGTCCCTGAACCCGTGGCTCCACTTGCTGCCACTACTGATGGGTCATTTTTATTTGCTGGTGGCCTTTCTGGGAATGTCTATGCTCTCTCCATCCCTTCAGGGAACATTCTGAAATCATTTCCTGCCCACACCAAGCCTGTATCCTGCCTCACAATCAGCAGTGATGGGTCACTCCTAATTTCTGGTGGCGATGATGGTACCATACTTGTTGTGCCAATCTTTCAACTTGTAGAGCAAACAAGGGATGAGAATTGTAGCGACTTGATGTTGCATAGCTTTGTCGCACATGATGGTCCAGTTACGGCTATTAATTGTATGGGGTTCTGCCACTCTACCGTAATTTCATGCTCAGCAGATTGCACATGCAAGTTGTGGAGCCTTTTAGATGGAACAAACCTGCGCAAAATTACATTCCCATGTGCAGTTGCAGGGATTGCTTTGGACCCGACGGAGACGGGATTCTATGCTGCAGGGACAGATGGTTTGATTTACAAGGGATATTTGAAGGTTGGAAGCAGAAAAGAAGTTAGCCGCATGCTTGAACTGGGGACATGGGTTGAGAAACATGGCGGAGCAATCATATCGGTGGTGATGATAAATGAGGGGAAGAATTTGGTATCTGCTGCGGAAGATGGGAGTGTGTATTTATGGGAAGTTGAAAGAGGGCAGGTGATTATGGTTCTTGGCAATAACATGGAAAGCATTAGTGATCTAGCTGTGGCCAGTGGGATCGGTGATGGTAAAAGACAAGGAGTTAGAGCTTCCAGTGATACGAACAAATCTGGTGGTGGAGGGATTGGGCTATCTGGGAAAGAGTTTAACAGAACAGTAAAGGATACAGTAGAGATAGAGGATGTCATGTCTGTGGCAGCAAAAGATAGGAGCAAAGCCATAGATATGCTAGAGTCAGCTATTGGAGTCTACGAGAGACTATTGGAACTCATTCTTAAGGAAGCCAAGGGAGGCTCTAGCAGGAATATCAATAAGGAGAAAGGTGACATGTAAACAGATTAGAAATTGCCATTTTTTTCTTAACCTTCATAGAGAATGGAAACCCATTGTGTTTATCATGTGTGCTGGGCTAAATATAGTGCATTAGCAGCTTAATAAAAGCTTAGTGTGCAAAATGTTCCTGTAAATTATTTCTCCCTGTTTCAGCTATTCATACTTAGGAGGTGGTGGATTCGAAATTACATTGTTTCCCTCAGTAAACTGCCACGAAAGAGGGTTCTGGGGACTAAAAAAATCACATTTTCCATTTATTAGTCTGACATCTTAACAAAGGAATCAATGCATCAGCTAATAAGAATAACATACAAATAAAATGTTAACATTTTGTATCTAACAACTATACAACCGATATCATCCCAAACAGATCCAGAATCACTTACAAATGCCTCCTTGTTTGTCACTCTGTTGCTAAAGTAGTGTTGAGCTTTGTGTGCAGATACCAAACAGTCAATCTTGCAGCCCAAAGTGAAACAGGGCAGTATACCTTATCTGCACCTGATCACGGTTCATTCATCAATGGAACGTATAGATGGCTGGAATGATTTTGAGGCTAAAATCCAAATGTTCAGACATTTGAATTCTCAGTGATTTGTAGATTCAAGCACCCCAGTTTCTGAGAATGATTTGCTGCATCAGTACTGCTAAAATGCTGCCCACAGATATGTTGATGACATTGACAGCATCATTGTTGAGCTGCAAAAGAAGATCAGAAGCATAAATTATATAATGTAAGAGAGTTTATTAGTGAACACAGATTCAAACACCCTATCAAATGATTGATGAGATCCTGGACCTCAGCAATGTCAGGCCAGTTACACACAGGAGGCTGCAATAGAGTTGCAGAATATTTCAATACTCAACACCGCAATGAATTCTTCCAGTAATCTGTAGAAACTCAGAAATGTAGATTATTCCTTCCTAAACGTGCCCATTTCAAAGTGGAGGATCCAGAAAAGCTAGGAGCCATGAAATCATAATATACAGAGAAGGTAAATCTCATTTGCCTGATTTTTCTATTAGTCTCTGGTTGGAATAGATTGCACACATAAAGCATGTATATCAATTAGGTAAAACAAAAACTAACCAGATACTTCTCAGCTGAACTCAGGTAATCCTCAATTGCAAACTAGTCAGGTAAGCTACACGAATCCAAATTTGGATTCAAAGCTAACTACTCTTAATACAATGAATTGATTTGTAAGGTTCAAGCTGATTAGTGGTCTCCCAACAGTCAATAGATAATTAAGTGCAACAAACTCTTCTACACAGCTGATCAGAATTCTGAACATATTAAACAATAGCAGAGAAACATAACATGTAGTCATGTACCACTGCTGGCTGCATTCCATAGATTGGCATGCCATTGAGTACCAAGTTTGAGCCTTCTAAGACTCCTAGGATGTGGGGTTGTGGGTATGTAGTCCGGTAAACCCCCACCACCCTCCCAGAAAAAAATAAAATAAAATGATTGTGAGTTCAATATGAGAAATAAAGTGATCATTTTTTGCTTGCTTACCCATTGAAATCCTTCTTTCTCCTGGAGCACAGCACCTATTATGCTCTCACCAACATTAGCAATCTGGGAAGCTATCACGCATATAACTGCTTCAGGTACATTTATCTGATTCACAAAAAGGAAAGGGGGAAAGAACAGAATATGTCAGAATCTATACACTAAAAATATTGTGGCATGGGTCTGAATCAGATAATAAATAATAAAAAACAGCATGCGGATGTTGTCAAAATGGGTGCACCTAACTGGTAAAGTCTCCTTGAATCCTCTTCGGACTGAGGTTTCTCACTTTAGAAGATGAAGAGGCTACCCCGATTTGGCAGACAGCCATTGGGGGTTTTTGCTCATGCACCAAAACTAAATAAGAACCTTTCACGTTGAAAAATGTACAACGCTTCCTTCAAAATCAAGTAACTTCCTAGTTCTTACAGGGCAATTTTTCACTAGAACATACTTTTTCTTTGTTTATTCTTTAAATAATATATTTTTTTAATGTCAAAATTGAGGAGAAGGAAGGTTTATTATGGGATAAGGTTAATGATAAGCCTCATAACAAACCATGTCAAAACTTACATAATGAACAATGAAGAAATATATCTAAAAAAACTCCAATAAATAAATAAATAAAGGTATCGTACTTTGGAGCTAGTAGGAGTGACTCTGTAGTACTAGGTTTTTTCAAATCTCTTTTGGCAAGGTTTCTTCCAAACCCTTTTTGGCAATGTTTCGTCCAAGTTAATCACAACAGGTCCAGAATACTAGTTTCATAAATAAAATGGTGATCATGACAACAAAGAGCTAACCTTATTGAAGAAAACAAGAAGAAAAATAATTGATAATTGTAAAAAAAATCAAAACTTTTCTCAAAGCAATCTGTCAGATCGGGGGAAGAAATTAAATGGAGAATATTAATATAAAATCTATGGATCAAGCTATAAAACTGTGTTTTTAGATTCTACATTTGACAGTAACCATCAGCACTAACCTTGCTATATCAACACAGTCTAAAAATATGAAACTACCATAATGCTAGCATAAGGTCATGTAATGGTGTGATGTTCACCAAAACAACGGGAGAAAGAGAGAAAAAGGCAGGGACAAAAAAAAATCATAATGCCAACAGCTAGTTTAATTATACATGCTTTGGTTACACAATTATTTTTAAAGCTTATAAAGCATACAAGTCAACAGGAAGAAGAATGGATGATATGGATGAAAAAAAGGAGTAACGTAAAGCAATAAAAAAGGTTATGCATAATTAAAGAGAAGATTATAAACGATACCTCACCAATGAAACAACCAATGGAGGCAAGAAGTATAGAGGCTAGCAATCCAGCTAGCGTTCCCTCAACACTGACAGCCCCTTCTGTTCCCCTCGGAACTACCTTAAATGTGGTAACAAGGTACCTGCTCAAGCCACATAAACGTGAAATGATAAATTTCTTACAGTCCATAAACAAAACAAAAGATTAAGAAAAGCATCAACGCATGGCAATCAAATCAAATTTGTTCCTATAAAATATAGGCTTCAGTTAAAACTGAAACCCTTGAAAATGCAATGATAAAATCACAAGAAACAGTTCCAACCAGCATTACCTGGATTATCTAGTTAAACTCTCAAAAAAAAAAAAAAAAGAAGCTACCCCTGATAACTTAAAACTGAAACCCTTTGAAAATGCAATGATAAAATCACAAGAGACAATTCCAACCAGCATTATCTGGATTATCAAGTTAAACTCTCATAAAAATGCTCCCCCAGATAAACTATAGTGTAACTAAAGCATATAAGGAATTACTCAACTTTTGTGAGAATGCGCGTGAGCGTCTGGGAGAGTGCAAGAACATGTCCCCTTATATGAAGGACTCTATTTCTTTTTCCTTGTTGTTATTATTATTATTATTATTATTATTTGCCTACAAAATAATCACAAAAGCTATCACCTACAAAATACTGAAAAACTAGATAAAACTGACTGATGACTGATGCAACTAAGTAGCAATACGTTAATGGCCTTTAAAGCCACTGAATCCAAAATCCTTCTGAATCATGAGTGACCAAATTAAAGTCTAAGAAATCAATCCAATTCTCACCAAACAGAAATGCAATACTTACGTAGTTTTGCCATATGCCTTCCCTATCTCACTTGAGATTGTATCACTCAACTTAGTACAGAAACTGGCAACAAACCCAAGTCGCCAAAGCGCAAGAAATGCCTCTCCCCCTACTCCAAATATTGACAGAAAAGCGCACACACAACCAGCAGCACTTGAACCAATCACACTGCCTGGTCCCCTTCTTCCCTTCCTCTTCTCAGCCACCCCTTGAGCTTCCTTTTGTGCCATTTTCACTTTTGTAGCTGCAGTTCCCTAACAGCATAAATTAACTGAATCCTATTAAAAACAAGAACTTAAATAACAAAAAATTGCAATTACTCTAAATCACCCTCCAAATCAGATAATTTGTATATAACCAGCTGCTAAAAGCAAGCTCTAACTTTTAGTGTTCAAATCTCGCACATTAGAAATACAAAATAATCTACAAGATCGGAGAGAGAAAAAAAAAAAATTAAAACCCCACATTATATTTTTCAACCAATTCAAAGAAATGAAACAAATTACAGATTAAACCAAGAAAAGAACCAAAATTTAGAACAATAACTAAGAATCTAACATAATGGCAGAGTGGCCAATTAATTCTTACACAAAAATGAACCAAAATTAAGCGTACAAAATCTACACATGCATAAATATTATACATATAATGACAAAAAGGGGCATAAAATGTATGGCCTGAATCACTTAAACAAAAAGAATTCAATTACTTTAGCCATTGAAAAAACCCCAATAAAACAAATCATCAAAACCGACAAAAATAACCAAAAACATAAACAAATTACATACAGGTAAAGATATAGTATTTTTCTTTTATAACTCACAATAACAAAGTAAGAGGCAACAAGGAGGAACCCAGAAGGACCAAAAGCGCGCCAAGTGAGAGTACCCAACAAAAAAGCAGCAAAAATCCCCGAAAGAGAGAGCCCAGATACCAAAATTGGAGACCCAACAACAAAAATCGACAGATTACTGAAAAAGGCTGATTGCCAAGTGGGTGGTGCTGATTGGATCAAGTTCATAGCCTCTGAAAGAACTCCTTGCATTGAGACTGAATTTGGTCTGTGAGGGAGCATTTTTTTGTGGGATTTAAGTGCTGGGGTTGTTTGGGTGGAAGTGAGAATTAATGGTTTTTTGGGGTGGATGTGTGATTTGGAGAAGTGGAGAGGAGGGAAGGGATTTGGGTGTTTGATGTAGAGGAGTGCCGAAAGTGCCATTTTTATGTTTTTTGTGTTGTGCTTGACTTTAGAGGGAAGCCAATGTGAAAGAGAAGTATGAATATTTGACTATCCATAACTAGTGGGTTGGAGCTCCGACTTAAGTCGCGTTGACCCGGATATTCTCTCACGGTTTGGTTAAGAGCAACCCATCTATGTTGGAGAATTGTGAAGTTTGTATAGCTAAGACCAAAGTTCTTCGTCTAAAACTTACCCTTGTCTCTTAAGTCAAGCCTAAAGGGTGACTCGGGCTTCTCTTCCCCTCCCCCCAACACCCCTCTCCTTTCACCCATTAAGGATGGCGGGAGGTAAATCTGATTCTCAAAGATCTTTTATTTCTAGTTTTTTTTTTTTTTTTTTTTCTTTTAAAATAACTTCTTCTTTACTCTTTTTTCATGGAAACCAAGGTTTGGAAGAGGAATGTCATTATCTATGGTGGTTTTTTTGGTGAGAAGCTTATGTGTTTAAGAGTTTTGGTATCAAATCAAGCCTAAGGAATTCCAACGTTTGAGAGAGACAGATCATTCTCTTTCCGTGGCCACCGAATAGCTAGGATTTTGAGTTAGTAGGACTGGAGTGAGTGGATTTGTCTTAGCATCTCTTGCCTCTGATTTTAGTCATTTTTGCTTGCTTATTCTTGTATTTTTAGATTGAACCTTTTCTTCCTTTATCATATGTAGACAACATGATTTATTTATAAAATAGGTTGTTATCAAAAGATAATTGTTTTAATTCAAAGCTTATAAATTTTTCTAAAACCTGATCAATATATATAAAAATATAACTAACATCACACGTAATGTCTTATTGCTTCAAAAATTTCTCCTTTTTTGAATGATAAACATTAGATTTGAATGCAATACTTCAAATCCCCTCTGGTCTATTGTGCAAAGATGAATGCTTATTAAATTAAATTGGGTTCATTTTTGCCCACTGATCTAATTAGAGTGCATAGTGAGAATTCCCCATTTTAAAGGTGTGATATCCATCTTACATGGGCTCAGTAAAATTTGGGCTTAGTTAATCTCCATCTGGAAACTCAAATCCATCTTGCATGGGCTTATTCAAGCCCTAACCATTCAACTCGAAAGAAAAAGCAGAACCCCATCTTATCCAGTCGCATGAAACAAAGAAACAGAGGAGGACCGCAGGGAGGGCTTAGCACGAGAGAGAGAGAGAGAGAGAGAGAGAGAGGGAAGTGAAGTGTATGCGAGAGAGATACGAGAATGGCAATGCTTTGTGCCTCATCTTCTTTTACTAACTCGACTACTGCAACAAAACCCTCTTGTTCTTACTCAACAAGGAATGGAACTAGTATTAGTTCCACCCCTTTTGTTGTTGGATTCTCATTTTCACAATCAAAAGTGAAACCATTTGTAAGAACATCTTCATTTCATTTGAGTAGTACCAGACGTAGTTTCGAGGTTCGGTGCGAGAAGAAAGAAAAGAGCGTCGTCACTCGCGTTCCTCTTGACCAACGCTGGTTGTTTGAAGAATCTGAACTTAATGGCCCTGTAATTTCCTTTCTCTCTTTGTCAAATTTATTTAATTTTTATGAACTCTTGATTATGAATATTTTATTTCTTTTGTTTATCTGGATTTTTTTTTTTTTGTCTATTAAAAAAAAGAAAAAAGAAAATGCTAATTGTGGTTTTTCTGATTTTGCTAAGGTTTGAGTCCCTTGTAACATTTTCATGGTGGTTCTTGATGTTCACTTTTGCTCTCTTACAATGTTAATTTTTTTTTTTTTTTGGTTTTATTTTGTAAAGGATATTTGGAATACGACATGGTATCCAAAAGCTGCAGATCATGTAAACACGGAGAAAACTTGGTATGTTGTTGATGCAACTGACAAGATTCTTGGAAGATTGGCATCTACAATTGCCATTTACATTCGTGGAAAGAATTTGGCGACTTACACTCCTAGTGTGGACATGGGGGCTTTTGTGATTGTGGTATGGGGATTGAAAAAGTGCGCATGTCTAAACATTCGCAATGAATGTTGACTGCATAATGCATTGCTTTTTTTCTTTACATTTTTAAAAAAGTTGGTGGTTATTGTTGTTTTCAAGAGAACTGCGATATATCTACTTATTCTGTTACATTACATTGCATTGCATTGCATTTGATTAGTTTCTACTAGATTTATCCTCAATGCTCCTGGTATGGTCTCAAGCTTCAAATAGCTTTGTTTCTAATGCATTATTTGCATCAGTCAAAGTGAACTTGACAAATATGGATCATGATATAGTATTTGCTGTATATAAATTTCTTTTTTCTATCTCTATCGCCTCATGTTTGCCAAAGATCATGGAATTAATTCTGTAACTTGCAAGGTCATTTCTGCATATTTGGAGTTGAATGTTTCATCAAATCTTACTAAATGCATTAAGGCTTAAACACAATGTATGTGTGATTATGGCTTTTTTTCCTCTCCTGATAACAAAGAAGAATGTTTTGATGAGCAATAGATAGGAAGGTATAGAATTGCTTAAAGAATAAGCATCTTCCAAATTAATAAGAGCAATTAGCGAATAAACTGTTGTTTATGTATAGGTTTTGAGGTTGTTATCCCCTAGGAAACGAGTTAGCTTCCTGTCTAGCCATCAATTGGTGGAAGTGGGTTGATACTGAAGGCTTCGTGCAACATTTAAGACTGCTAAATCTTAATCCTCTTTCAGATAAAGCTTGTTACATTGTGGATTATTTACTGATTTTATCATTATGGTGGCATAACTGAATGTGTCTACAATCTTTCTGAGTCTTAACAAACCTATTGATAAGATCGTCAATTGCTTAAAGTGCATAGTATGAGTTTCTGATGTGGTTTGGATAAGGAAGAGAGTAGGTGTTAGTTGTTTTATGACCATGTTTCCTACCAGAATTTTAATACACGTAGAGGCTTGTCTCAGTCCATTAGGTATTTTCAGAGATGAGGGAACTTTTTAAAAAATTGAAATTGGAATTGGTTGACAGGTTATCTACATTTTTGTTGATTTGAACTAGAAAACTGAATTAGATTTCATATTGGCTCATTGCAGAATTTCAATAATTGATATTTATCCGATATCACCCTTGTTTCGTATAATTTGCCCAAAACTCCACTCAGATTTAATGGATAATTGGTATTGGTATTATAATTGTTTGCTTGCGATTGTACTTGCTTGTTGACGTTCTGGTGTAAGGATTAGTGGGGCATGTCTGCTTCTTCACTGAATGCCAATTACTGTAATCAGTTGCAATTGTCTTGTGCTAAACTTGTAAAAGCTTTGCCCTTTCTGATCTGAAAAGGTAAATGCTGAGAAAGTTGCTGTATCTGGTAAGAAGAGGACCCAAAAGTTATACAGGAGGCATTCAGGAAGACCAGGTGGCATGAAAGTGGAGACGTTTGATCAGCTTCAACAGAGGATTCCAGAAAGAATTATTGAACATGCTGTCCGTGGTATGCTTCCTAAAGGAAGGGTAAGTGCTTGTGTTCTGATCCAGGATGAGTATAAATATTTTTTATTATTATTTAGTCGTTTTCTCATTTTTTAAGGATGTCTTGTCCAGCTATCCTCTTATCTATACTGGATTTTTTTTTACCCATTCTCAATAAAATTGCTTATAAAACAAAGAAACATATCAGCCATTTAGATTTTCTGTTTTCCCTTTAATTTTGCAACAAAGTTTTTCTATGAAGTCTGAATTATTTTTTGTACTTATTTTTGTTGCTTATTTAAAGAACTCTTGTTTCTCCCTTGGGTGCTTTCCTTTGTGGTACAAATTTTCACATTTAACATAGGAGCTGTAGTTTTTTCTTCTTGGGTGCTTTGATCTCCCCTCTTCAGTTTTATTGTCTTTTTTGCTCCCAGTCTTACTTTAAAAGTATCTTTTGTGTACATAGGTTTGCAACAAGTTCATTTTTAAAATGCTTTTAATTTAAATCATTGGCCTGTGAATGGACAAGTTGGAATGACAGAGCCCAATTTATTGTTGATAACCTATTCATTTATGGTTTTGCATGTAATTGGGCTGCTGAGATAGCACTATTAGGGAATAGTTCTGCTTGAGCTATTAAAGATATTCTTATGAGCAGCATGGTGAACTAGTTGATGCTAAAAACAGTGGGGATGGAGTCCTCATGAAGCTAGGTTTGGCAAGCTGCAACACATTGCCTTCTTGACAGGCTGCATAACCCAATCTGTGCATGCACGTGCACACACATAGCACACACATAATCAGAAGGATCTGCAGGGATAGGCCCTAAAATGTGAAAATGCTGGAAGGATACTGAGCACCCAAAGAGGCTGAACATAAGTTGGTGATGCGCTCTTTATGGTTTTGGATTGTCAAGAATAAGTGATTTAGGTTGAGCTTTTAGAAAATATATGCAGCTGAGAAGAAAGAGGAAGAAGGATGGTTTAGTGAGAATTGAAGAGTACTTATTGTATGCTCGTTGTTGAACTAGAAGAAAAGGTTAACTTTGGCATGCTATATAGCACAAATTGTGGATAAATCAATCAGGTTTTTCCCTAGTTTATTGACAGGCCCCGTTATACCTGAAATAGCTATCACTTCGCCAGGTTTTTTTGTTTGTAAGCTATGTAAGTTTAGAGGTCATGGGATGATAATGAAGTCAAATGAGAGCTTTCTTATGTAGGATTTGGGTTTTTTTGTTGGTGTTATCTGGCATTAAGTGGCTCTGTGAGATGCATTGCCGGGAGGTTGATATGGCATTAGTCAAGTTTGTAAAATACAGTTGATTTGCCATTAGTCAAGTTTGTCAAATAGGAGAGGGTAATTACAGAGTCCAATTAGAAATCAAAATCGAAAACTCTGACAAATACTTTTTTTCTCATAGACAATTAAAAGCATGTGAAATTTACTTGTGCAGGTATGTTTGTGATGTGCTATGCGTTAACTTTATGATTTTTAGTTAAATAGATAGAAGATCTCTTTTCTAGATGATTTTTTTTTTATTTATTCATGTGTTTTTCATTTTTTATCTAAAATGCTTCTATTTTGTTCTGCCCACATAATTGGGTATCAGCTTGTTTTCCAATGATGTGGTTTTGACGTCTGTTTCCTGCAGCTTGGCAGAGCATTGTTCAACCACCTTAAGGTTTACGCGGGCCCAACTCATCCGCATGAGGCTCAGATGCCCATTGAACTGCCAATAAGGGACAAGAGAATACAAATTGAGAGATAGATTTGTTTCCCAACCCTGGCTTTAGATATGGCTAGCAATCCATCTTTGCCCCTATGTTTCCCATGTTTGTGGCTTTGGGTTTTATCTTCATGCTGACCCTTCCTATGAAAAAAAGCTTTTTGTTCATGCTTCTCTTTGACAATAGAGGTAATTGGAATTGATCTTGCTTGTCTTTTGCCAAGGTTTAGTGCGGAATCAAGGAAGTTCATTTGTAGGTTTCTGTTGTTTCAAATGTATTTTACCCTAATCTGTAATGTATTTTGTATCACAGTTTATTAGTTGCTTAAATGAAAGGAGTAGATTGCATCCGACTATAGCTGGAGGGATGGAACTAATTTTTCTATCAGATGTAATTATTTTCTTTTTCAGAAATTGAGCCCATGCGGTAGAGGATACATAGAGGTGACAATAGACTATTCAATAAATACTCATTAAAAATATTTAATGGTTATTGAAATATATATATATATATATTCACTCTTTATTCTATTAAAACTTATTAATTTTTTTTATTTTTTTATTAATATGTAGGAATTTAATTGTATAAATTTTAAAAATCAAAGACAAACATTTTTTTTCAAAAACTTTGAGAATTAAAAAAACTTATAAAGAAAGAAATTATCAAAAATGTTTTAAAAAAATAAATTTTAAGGAAAAAACAATCTTTCTTAAAAATATAAGGATTAAAATGAATATTTTTGAAAATTTATTTTTAAAAGATATATATATATAAGGAGCCATTTATAAAGTATTTTGTTCGAGCTTGCTCTCCACGCAAAATATGTGATCGAGCTCGATTCAAATGGCTACGAAATGACAAAGCTTCAATGGAACCAAGCTTATATGCCCGAAGTTGAGTTGTTTGTGCGAGAGAAGGGACAAAGTTTTTGGAAGACTCTGAAAACATGTTGAGAACACTATATACATTTGAATCTCTTTGGAAGTTTTTACAACATTAGAGAAATTTTTAGACTTTTTAAGAGAAATCCGGACATATTTTAAGTAATTCTAAAAAATATCTAGATTATTTTAGTATATATATCTAGAATATTTTTTATAAATATCTAGATAAAAAAATTCTAGGAAATTAATTATAACTCGTTAGATCGAATTGGCTTTAGTTATTCGTTTAAAAAGTAGAAGGTGAGATTTTAATTTAGCCAAACCATCTAAAAGAGTTGTAATTCAAGAGTTGTGGATTAGGAGATTGCATCAATTGGTAGTGGAACATAATTTTGGCACATATGGAGTAAAAAAGGAGAAATTGAGTAGCAATGGCGAAAGAAAATGCGGATCTTAAAAAAGAAAAGAAAAAAAAAGAGGAATCTATCTCTCAAATATCAAAAGTAATCATTGAACTCTCTAAAAATATAATAATACAATTGATAGACATGATAATGATATCGTTGAGTTGAAAGAGATTGTAAAAGGACTTAAAAGTCCGAGTGATTGATGAAACGAGTTAATAATCACACTATTGACATTAATGTTGAAGGAGCTCCTAATGTAAAAAAGGGTGGTTTTAGGCATCTTGACTATAGATATCCTATTGGAAATATTAATAGGTAATTAATGTATGGTGGATATGGGTGAAATAATTGAGGGTATCAATATAATACTAGGGTGACTCAAGTAAAATTTCTAAAATTTAATGGGGAAGACTTTGAGTGGTGGATTTTTAGGTGTGAGAGGTTCTTTATGGTGGATAAAATACTAAAAAAAGCCAAGGTCAGCTTAGTTGATATTCATTTAGAGGAGGAAGCTTTAAAATGGCATAAAGTGTTTGTGAGGATGCATGAGTTAAACACCTTGATAAAATACGAAGAATACATTAGGGCTATGAGTATACGTTTTGGAGAAGTGATCTCCAATAATCCAATGATTAAATTGACAAGATTGAAATAGACATATGATGTTCAATTATTTCTCAAAAAAATCATTTCTATGGTAAATAAGTTAGTTTTACCTAAAGATTACATAGTTAGTTACTTCGATGGTAGTCTTAAATCTTAATTGTAGGTTCCTGTAAAAATTATGAGACATAAGACCCTAAAAGAGGTTGTTGCATTAGTCAAACTACAAAAGACCAATCCTAACATTCAAACTCAATCTAGTAGATTCTCTTCTAAAATTCTTTCCTTCAACAAACAAAAAACCAATAACTATTTTACCTTTTCTAATCAACAAATCCTATAAATTTTTACAAACCTATTAACTATTACGGACATAACTCTTCAATGAATTCTAACAACTCTTCCTTTCAAAACCAAAAAGGCATCTATTGCCTTTTACCAAATGAGTTCCAAAAGGCAATTCTATCTTTAAAACTCGAAGACTTCCTAACAACAAAGAACTTAATGAGAAGAGGTTGAGAGAGAAATGTTATTTTTGTGATGAAAGGCATACTTTTAGTCATAGATGCAAAGAAAGGCAGCTATTTATGCTAGAAGTGAAAGAGGAGGAAAATAATGAAGAGTGCATTGGAATAGAAGTAGGTGATGGTATTTAATCTTGGAACTATTAACAATGTAGGAGTTATTACTAGAGAATTGTATCACATCTCCATTTGTGCGAGTGTTTAGGGAGAGCATTGCCAAACCATGAGAATTAAGAAAGAATTGCAAGGAAAGAGAATAAGTATACTAGTAGATATTGGAAACACTTATAATTTTGTGGACTTGAGTTTTGCTAAAAAAATAATTATGAGTTGGTCGGAATCAATCTTATTAATGTCAAGGTGGCCAATAAAAGAGAGATTTGTTGTGAGTATATGTGTAACAAATTTAGATAGAGAATGTAAGGGAAATGGTTTGAGGCTACTTGTTTTTGTAATGCAATTAGGCATTATAAGATGATTTTGGGTATTGCATGGTTATATGCACCGGGGGACATTACTTAAAATTTTAAAGACATATGGATGAGATTTTTCTAGGAAGGAAGTTTGTTTCTATTAAAGGGTACTTGTGTGAGCTTGATTAAAACTAAAGAAGAAAAAGAAGTTGATCGGATTCTATGCGGACAATAACATCTAAGTTGGTTACATTTGAATCAAATAATAGATATGGAGTAATTAGGAACAAAAACGTGTGGAGTAGAAATGAGGGATGCCATTCTAACTAACATGGAAGATTTTGGACAAATTTAGAGATTTTTTTTTAAATAACCAAAAGAGCTACCTCCTCACAAGACTCGTGATCATAAAATTAATTTGAGGGAAGGATCGGATCCCGTACCTTATAGGTATCTTTCTATTAAAAAAGATGAGATAGAGAGACAAGTTCGGAAGATTTTAGAAGCTGGGATCATCTAGCTTAGCATAAGTTTTTTTTTTTTTTCGTTCTTTAGTTATGTAGATTAAGAAAAAAAGATGGCATTTGGAGGATGTGCATGTATTATAAGAGACTTAATCAAATTACTATCAAGGATCAATTTCCTATTCTATTATTGAAAAATGTTTAAATAAGTTATATGGTTCTATTGTTTTTTTTTTTTAAATTGGATTTGCATACTCGGTTATCATCAAATCATAATGAACTTTCAAGACATTTCAAAAAACGCATTTTGTACAAATAATGGCCACTATGAGTATTTGGTAATGCCTTTTGACTTAACAAATTCTCCTATACTTTTCAATCCTTAATAAATGACATTTTTAGGCCTTTTCTTAGAAAATTTATCTTGGTTTTTTTTTTTTAATGATATATTGGTTTTTAGCAAAACTTTGGATGAACATGTATAACATTTAGAAACTGTTTTAACATTACTTAGATAGAATACCCTATTTGCTAAGAAATCTAAATGCACATTTGACACCCTAAAGTTAGAGTATTTAGGACACTACATATCGGAGAAGAGGATCCAAACTGATGCTAAAAAATATAAACTATGCAATAGTGGCTTATTCCAAAAACCTTGAAATGGTTGAGGAGTTTTATAGGGTTGGTTGGATATTTATAGACGATTTTTGAAGGACTATGGTAAGATTGCTAAAACATTTACATATTTGTTGAAAAAAGATGGGTTTATGTGGAATATGGTAATTGAGGCAACATTCAAGGAGTTATAGTATGCAATGACCATAACTCCTGTCTTGGCATTACCTAACTTGAAAGAAGAATTTGTCATTAAGATAGATGCTTCTAACTGTGGAATTAGGGTAATGCTTATACGAAGGGACATACGAGTGGCGTATATTAATAAGTCACTCTCTCTCAAACATCAATCTTTATCTCGTGTATAAAAAGGAGCTTTTTTCCATGTTGTTTGCTATAAAAAAAGGGACACAATATCCGGCCGATAAACATTTTGTGATTCGTACGGATCGTCAAAGCCTAAAACATTTGTTAGATCATCAACTTCATATAGTTGGATAGATGATTTGGTTGGTCAAATTAATGGGATACAATTATGAAATTATGTAAAAAAAGGCAAGAAGATCAAGGTGGTTGATGCATTGTCTAGAATTGAGATGTACTGCCTTGGTGTTATGATTAATTTTAACAAAACTATTACTAAAGATTCGGTTTTCATAGGAAGCCAATTCCATATTAAAATTAATAATTACATAATTATAGCAACTTGAAGGTACATATTTAGAATTTACTTGGCATAATCGGTAATTAAGAAGGAAGGGTAAACTAATGGTTGGAGGAGATTTAAAATTGAGGAATGCATTGATTTCATTGTTTCATAGTTACGTAGTGGGTGGACATTCCGAGGTGGAAGTTACTTTTAGAAGAGTGGTTGTATGATAGCACCATAAGAGATTATCTAAGGATGTTAAAGAGTTTATGAGAACTTATAGTATCTACCGAGTCTATGTAAATATGAAAACGTTACCGATCTATGATTACGTAATCCTTTGTCATTACCACAAGCTATGTTTACATGTATCACTATGGATTTTGTTGAAAGCTTAACTCTTTCACAAGGTAAATTTACCATTTTTGTTGTGGTTGATAGCCTAACTAAATATGCTTACTTCATGTCCTTATTTCATCCCTATTCTGCTAGTTCTATGGCCAAATTGTTTGTAAAAAATGTTCATAAACTTTATAGATTACCTTAGAATATTGTCTCTAATAGAGATCATGCTCGTTTGAGCAAATTTTGAAAGGAACATTTTGCTTATCAAGGGGTCTCTTTGAAGTTTTTGACTTCCTACCATTCTCAAACAAATGGGCAACGAAGTAGTCAATAGGTGTTTATA